TGCTGTAAGCGCATGCGTATTTTTAGTGAGAATGGCCGGCAAGTTTTCTTGTGGCGGATCGTTTTCTCTTTGACACTCTTTGATTAACTTTAATCGATACCTAAATAAGCTCACTCGTCCCATCCTGCCTTGGGGCTCATTCTCGAGCCCCGCCAACGGCTAGTAGTCTAGGCGGGACGAGTGAGTTCTATTAGCGATCGGTGAACGTTAATCAATAGGCCTCAGTATCTGCCGATCGAAACTGGCAGAACGACGAGCCTGTGGCGCAGTGGCGAGAGCGTTGCACTTCTAACTAACAAGGTCGCAGGATGTGGGGCACCACATGCGGTTGGGTGTGACTGACTGATGATGGCTGATGAGCCAGAAATGACAATTCCAGTTTCCCTAGTCTTTGCCGGCAATGCTATCTGTAGTGTTCTCCGCGTTTCTTTTCTGGAAACATACGTTTCGAGTGAATTCTAAGTACCTCTTCCATGCACCAATATCCCTGAATTGTTTTGTTTACATGGCGATCGCTTTCCTAATGCAGGTAATAGTTAAAAGATTTTGTACTTCGCACGGTCGAAAAACACATCGAATATGACTCAGTAGAGGCGCAGCCGGCGCGCTTTTTGGTTCGTCTGCGCCCGATGCCCAACATTTTGTGGCCGTTCGACGTTTCATATTTCTTGGGTAAGGCTTCTTTGTAAAGAACAACACAGTAAAAACGGGTTTATTTAGTAGTAATAGTAGTAGGATTTATATGGGTGGAGCATATCAGGGGAAGGGAGATAAATACAAAACGAAATAATAAACTGATAGAACTAAAACGAAACAAAAACTGACTAAACTAAATAATAACCTACAACGCAACAAGTAGTTAAGCACCTATAGTAAAGTACGATTTTGTTTTTAAAGAATCCCTGCCATTTCTTGCAATCTGCCACTTGCAAAGTCCGTGCCTATGTTGTCCCTTTTGTCCGTTTCACTTGAAACTATACACAGTTTGGATGAAACCACTACTTTCCTCTTCGTTTGCAGGTCGCCCAAAACAGGACTATATGCAAACCTGCAGCAATTTAATTTGCCCTATCCCGAGGCCATTTTCGACTTGGGTTTCTTTAAACGCCGTCCCAAGGCCTTCTACACACTGGCTCAAGAACTCTATCCCTCTGGCCGATATCGTCCCAACGTCACGCACTACTTCCTTCGAATGTTGCACGAAAAATCCCTACTCAAACGCGTGTATACTCAGAATATCGATGGCCTCGAACGCGGTACGCTCTATTCCCTGCCTCTTTGTGCACTTGTTTCGGACCTACACTTCTGTGGCTAACTGGGGGACTGCCTTCTTTGGGTCGAGTTGATGTCTCTAGTGGCCTCTAGGTCATCTTATTGCAAGCTAAACACTTTGTGCACGATACCAGTCAATCAACTGACGCCGAGATTTAGAGAGTTGGCTGACAGAGCTGCGATGTGTGACGCTGAACCCGTTCATATGTGGCGTAGGGCTGGTAAGATATGTGATTGTGTACTATGACCGGTGGTGTTCTCCCGCAGGTTTTCATGGCCATTCATCTGGCCGAATAGAGTCATGTGATGAAGGTGTGTTGGCAGTCGAAGAAGGTGCGGTCGATGCTGACAGTTTCGCCAGTTTCTCTGTATGCGATGGGTTCGCAAGTGACTGACCATGCCGATGTGTGATATGCGTGTGTGTCGGCCGCGCTGGGATTAGTTAGTGTTGTAGATGGGAGAGTTGTCAAATCTGTGCTTGACACGCATGTAGGGCGGTGAATTCCGCTTTTATGGGTGCGTATGTTACCGAATAGGCCCATGCGATGATCAAATGCATAAGGGCAGTGCAACCACTGCACGTTGGAGCTCCTGGATATGACACAGCGTGATGGATTCGCTAGTGACCGGCTAGGCTGATGCGTGATGTGCAAATGCGATCGAAATCAGGACAAATTGGGATCGAGTCGACATTGCTGTTAGTGGCAGCGATGGTCGTGATGAGGGTAGTGAACAGTGATGTCACCAATGGAGGAGAATATGCGAGTTCCCGGAAGCACCTTTGGTGGAGATGGGA